ACACATGTAATTTTGTATTTTTTAATTTAAAAATCTAAAAGAAATTAGATTAGAAGTTTTAAGTTCATTGACTCAACTATATTTTTACCTATATAATAGTATATAGATAGAAGTATAAATATAGATATAGATTTTATTATATATAGATAGAAGTATAAATATAGATATAGATTTTATTATATATAGATAGAAGTATAAATATAGATATAGATTTTATTATATATAGATAGAAGTATAAATATAGATATAGATTTTATTATATATAGATAGAAGTATAAATATAGATATAGATTTTATTATATATAGATAGAAGTATAAATATAGATATAGATTTTATACCATAACCATTAAAATTCAAAGAATTATATAGAAAGGGGAACATGTTCTAAAATTAGATTTTTTTAATTAATAATTTTAAAATTAATTTTTAATTATTTATTTAGAACCATGCACGACACATAGGTATATATTAATTATGTGACAATACACCTAATCGGATAAAGTAGAACTAATGACTTTCAATTAATTAAGAGGATATGAAATGGGTGGTTGGGTAGTGTTATTAACTTCACCACGTTTGCATTAAAATTGTTTGTTTTGAGATGATGAGTATAGACCAAACAATTTTTTGCAGTCATCACATTGGAAAATTATTAAGTATTTTTAGAGTATCATATGTTTATAGTCTTTCACTAATCATCATATACCATATCCTTTCTTATTTTTTAATTATTCAATATAAAATTGTGAGTCATACATTCTCTATTAATCACAATATTATTAAAACATCACGGTGATTGTACTCCTAAAGCACCCAATAATTATTTATGGTCATACACTTGACTTGTTTCATTATAAAGACTGCACATACTAATGATTGAGTAAACTACACTAATCTTTTATCAAATTTGAGAAAATTACAAGGTTCACAAGTGTAATATAATAATATTTGTGAAAATTACAATAAGGTTTACAAAGGGTAAAGTAGTTGTTCAGTGGATATATCGCCCCCACATACCTAACTCAAATTCGACTTTTATTAGTCCTTTCTGTTTCTTCACATCATGCAATGAGGGTGTGACCACCATCGAGTTTACATTTCTGAAACAACAATGATTGAGACACTATTTTTTTGAAACCCTTATAATCCCTTTTGAATCTCTACTATTGATGGTATAAGTCCTACACATACATAAATAAGTCCCACATATACATTAATGGTGGAAATCTAAAAAAGATTGTAGAACTCTTTAAAAAATAGAGGTCTCAAGCATTTTTCTTTATGAAATGAGTCCAAAAGATCGTCTGCCTAGGACACGGTTCCTATTTATCGAAAAATAAAATAAAATACTATCAATCATAGGATTTAATTAATTAGTTCATATTTCTTTTTGATCTCTCATTTTATATTCCACCACTCTTTTAGGATTCAGTAGTCCCATATGAGGATATTATGTCTGGGTGAACTATTAATCTGAATTCTAATTTTCTTGTCTGTACATAAAATTATGTAATTTGTTAAATTATTACCCAATTCAAATGTCATGTTCTTCAAACAAATATGATCTATTTATATAACACGTTATTCCCTTATTATGAGTCATCTGCTACGCTAATGAAAAATGATATTATCATTTTATCTACATTAAAATATATATGTTAGTTAGCATTTATTATTTTTGTGACTGCATATCATTTATATTAATTTCGTTTGGTTTAGGTCTATTTTGGGAAGTGACTTTTTTTTAGTTTATTGGCTTATTTGAAAAAATGTGTAAGAAAATAGAGAGGTAATATGATCTAAATAAGCCAATAAAGTATAAGTTATCACATCACTCTCTCTACTTTTCTGTATATTTTTTGTAAAAATTTAAAAAAATATTAAAATAACATATTCCCAAACGAGACAAGCGGAGTTAGTGCTTAAAGTTCTTCTCATTAAACTGAAATATTTATTCGTTTCATTAGGGCTTTTTTTTTTGTCTATATAAGCACAAAAGACAAAATGGTTAAATACGCCAATAAGACTAAATGTTACATTCAAGCCATAATTATTTTACTTTTTCTCTTATAAAATTCAAAAAAGTCAAAAAGTCAACCCAAACAAACTTTTTAATCTCAAGTTAAAAAAGTCTCAATTCAAAAAAGTCAATTAAATTTTTTTTTGCCAAACAACACCATATTTATTAATTTTAAAGAATGTTGGAGAAAAGTTTGTATCATTTAGAATCGGAAAATGTTTGGTAGCTCAAATTTTTGTGGCTCAAATGGCTCAAATCTGTCAAAACGACGTCGTTTTACACTCAAAATCTATCAAAACGACGTCGTTTTGACAGATTTGAGCCATTTGAGCCACAAAAATTTGAGCTACCTAGCATTGTCGTTTAGAATCTCACGTTGCCTTTGGTTTAGTTTTGAAATCAGTTTTGGGGGTTTAAAAACAGTTTTAAAAATTAAAAATTATTTAGTTATGAGTTTTGAAAATAGTTTTTAGAAGATTAAATTCAAAACTTATTTGGTTATGAGTTTTCAAAATTTTAGTTTTTTTGGATCTCGTTTTTTTTTTTTTTTTTTTTTTTTTTTTTTTTTTTTTATTAGTTTTTTATTGTCTTTTAGTCAAACCCTTTTTACAATATCATAGTCAATTTTTTTTTTTTACTTCTTTCATATACCTAATATAAGTTTACTTTTTTGATGCATCTAATCTAATTTATAGAACAAAGTTTCACTCCATATTTTTTATTTTTCTTTTTATAAATGTTAAAAAAAATTTAACATTTCTTTTCTTGTTTTATATCCACTTAATCTATATACATTTAAAACGTTTCATATTTAAATGGAACTTTTTATAAAATTACTGAATAATGAAAAATATACAAAAAAATCAAAATCAAAATTGATCCATTTAAAAATTAATACTTTTAATGTTTTGTGTATTTATTAAATTTATTTTTGTGTTCTTTATATTTTGTTTACTATTTAAGTCTATTTAGATCATATACATTTAAAATATAAAAATTATTCGGCTAATTTGTGAAAACCAAATAAAATTGATTTTGTAAAAAATTCTAAATCAAACAAGTTTTAAATTTTTAGTTTTGGAATAAATTTTCAAAAATTATAAACTAAACAAATTTTGGGTTTTGAGTCAAGCTTGATGTCAAGCTTGTTTGGTACCAGTAGCAGTTGTTGTCATGCTGGTATGCAATCCAACTGTCCCATTGGTCACTTTGGTTTACTTTCTCCATGTGTATGAGAGGGTTCAGGAAAGTTGTTGAAAAATTCAAAGATCTTCGAAGATCCTTGAAGAAAAAAATTCAAATTCTCTAGAAGATGATGAGAGACTTAGATTCTTCAATAGTCTCAACTTAGGAACACAAAAGCAAAGGAGATGATGGAGATAAGATATTGGGTGAAGAAGAAGGCAAAGTAACTAGAGAGAGAATAATGGCAAGGCTCTCCCATGGATCTCCCACTTTCACTCTCAAGGTTGATAATGGAGAAGGAAAATTAGTTCTTTTCCAAGAGTCATCTCTCCAAATCCATCCCTTGTAAAGCTATGGGTGGGTGCTATTTATAGGCACCTCATGATGTAGGATAGAGCCGGCACATGGGGAATATTCTCTCTAACCACCTTGTTTGAGGAGGAGACCTCTCCGAGGATGAGGAAAACCCCGAAGAGGAGATCAACCTCTCGGCAAACCCTTCTTCTTAGCCACGCCTAACCAATGATCCTCAATCATCCCAAAGGGTCAGGGGTAGTTCTAGAGGACGTCCTGCCACATAACGGTTAGGGGTAGTTCAAGAGAACACCCTGCCGCAAATATTACCGAGTCTCGGGAACCCCCTAGATCGTGCCACCTCGACCCGGGTATAGGCTAGTTTAACCGAAGAGTGAATTTATCTCCACTCACCGTCCTCGAGATCGGGTCCTTTGTTCGAACTCCATTACGCCCATGGTTCTGGTGCGTAGATCCCGGAAAGCTCCGAGCTCGCAAGTGTTCTGGGACTCATTAACGAAGCGACTTCTAAATTGCGTTTGAATCCATTCGAAGCCAAGTGCTTCGGATCTCTAGATTCGTGGATCCGAATCCTTTCGAGTCCGAGTGCCTCGGATCTCTAGGATAGCTCAATACCCTTTCGAGTCCGGGTCCGAGTAAGTCTCTAAGTTCGTGGATCCGAACCCTTTCGAGGCTTAGAGCGATTCAGCCCATTTGATGGCGATCAATCCGGGCCCACCAATCTGGGACTTGCCATAAATTCGGGCCCACCAACCGTAGACTATTGGGCCTAATTAATTTAGTGGGCTCAAATTAGCTCCTCTTACACAAGCAAGGATCCTCTAGAGTTTTTTTTTCCTAAAGTTTCCTAGAGTGGTGCATTGTGTGGTTGAGATTTAATGACAAGTCACATCAATTTTTCAACATCAAATCTCAACCACACAATACACCACTTTAGGAAACTTTTGAAAAAAAATACTCTAAAGGATCCTTGGTGCTCTTACACCATGCAGCTGATATTTTTATTTATTTATTTTTTTTTTAATTATATTTTATGGGAGAGGGGTTATTGTTTTAGAATTTGGGTTTGGTGACTGATTGTAATGGTTGTAAGAGTGGTGTCATGTGCCAACCTGCAAGGTTTCTTTTCGGATTTTGAAAGAATCTCTTTTTCTTAATTCATATTATCTCGATATATTTATCAATTTTGATTTAATAAAATTAATGTTTTACTGATAAAAAAACAAAACAAACAAACAAACTATTAACAGCGAGAACAGGCAGACAACACATAGACAAAAGAACACTCACAAATTAATTAAAACATATCAGAAAATTTAACAAATATCAAACCACCAAAAAAAAAAAAATCATGAAGACAATAGATATATCATGGTTTTAAATGTCGATCGATACCGGTATTTTTTTTATAACCGATACTATTTGATATGTGACAGTATCACCAATATCAATAGATCCTAATTAAAACCATAATATATATCACCCTGAAGCAGAAGTTGAACTGCTAAAGGTGTGGAACATACGAGGACAGCTATAAACCGAGCAAAATGACTGTAAAGCCATCAGCAACATGAGCAAAACTACTGCTATGATTGTCAGAATCTGCCAAGAACCGTACACGAAATTCTTCATCCGCCTATACATTCGAATCTGCTTTGTGTTGTTGAAGCACTTGTTCACATCTTCAATGGCCTTATCAATATAGGGCACATTTGTGAGTCTCACTGACTTGCTCATCCCATTGAAGAGTTCCGCAACATCAGCATCACTTTTCAGACTGTTTACGATGATTTTATTTTCTCTAAGCAGCTTTGCATCCTCAACAGTATCTATGATTCCATTCATCAGCTCAGTATATCGTGTGAAAACAAGTGACTCGGAGGTAAGTGAAGACTCGTATGCCACCAAGTTTCTCATCACTACCTCCGAGTTCACGTTCAGAGTGATGACAGGGAGGTAAAATTTCTTGGCACATGCATCGAATTGAATAGTTGAAATGCCACCTGTAGTGGGACAAAATTCCACCCCAGCAAAGCGAAGCATTGATACTGAAGGAATCATGATCTCCTCTACCTTAGGAGTTTTCTTGACATCACTGGAAACTTCTTCTTCAGGTTTTATGTCTTCTTTCTTTTTCGACATTAAAATGGACACCCCTGGTACATTACTAATTATCTTTGAAGACACACCCAATAAGTTCTGAATAGGCTTTGTGATTGTACTAATTAACCCAACATGTAGACTGCATAACAAGTTCCAAAGCTTATCAAAAACTTGATAAGACTTGCTTGAATCAAAGCTCGGCTCTGTAGTATCAAAGCTCGACGATCCCAATTTGCCAAATCCATTGCCTGGATTGTCTTCAGAGCAGTTCATTTTGGGCACGATCAAGTGGTACAAAAGGTCCAACAAATGTGCATGCTTGGTGACTTGAGACGAAGGGAGGTCCTCCTTGATGAGTTTGATTGGAGAGAGAGATTTACAAAAACCCATCAACATAGAAGGCAACAAATTGTCTTCCACATCAGGCAATGAGCATTGGATTGACACAATCTCTCTCAAAAGAAAGATTGGGATTTGATTTTCGAGCATCATTATGTCGCCGAGGACAGTGCCATGAGCTAGCTTCCGTCCAGTGGAATCGACTAAGTGAGCTGTTGTTGCAGACGAAGACACCGAATTTTCTTTCATGTGGATATGATAATTGTGAAGAAAGTCAAGCAAAAAGAGGCCATCAATGGCCATAATCCATGCAAGTGTTTCGCCTTCAACGTCCAAATACATATGGTAACAAGCACGAACTCTGTGTTCATGCTCGATGAGTTGATTGACAAGTTGTTTGAATTCGAGGCTTTTAAACTGGCTTTGATGCCGGGCTGCTGCAGCAAGCTTGTACCTCTCCATCTCATAGAGCTCGGAGCGAAAATGATGGTAGGGACCCAAGCCGATGAGCTGAGGCACGTAGGCCTCGGGCTTGAATGCAGAAATGGTGGCTGGGACTCGAAAGATGGAAACTGGGAGGTCGATTTGGACCATCACTTCATGGTGTTGGAGGATTTTGCTGACTTGGTTGATCCATCTCTGCTCGCCGTCGGATGATTCGAAGATTGAAGTGAAGGCCATGTTTGTGAAATTAAGTTTTTTTGAGCACAAGATATGAGGAAGTACTTCTTTGTTTATGTAGTGTAAGAAGGGCAATGAAAGAACTAAGTGGTTGGCTTAATAGGTGTAACTTGGAATTTATAGATGTATTCTTTTTAGATTTCATTAGAACCAAATTTGTTTTTTGAAATTACGCCCGTAAACTCTGTTCGAAATTTACTCGACTTACATGAAAGAAACATTTTATGTAAGTTTTGAAATTAATCGAAATCAGCGTAAACTTATCCAAAAATCATGAAAGCACCATGTGAGATAGAATTTTGGATGTAATAACACATCGAGTTTTGTAATCTATTCAATTATGTGGTCCTTTTTTGCATGTTATGTCAGTCTCGGTTCACACAATATTGGTAATGCTATTTGCGTATACATGTGCACAAGTAAATAAATAAATAAATACGTGTGAGAAAGATTCATTTTAAATGTGATTGGGATGATATTTAAAAAGGTATTATCGTCATTCTAACTCAAAATTTGGATTTGAATTTTAAATTCTATACAAATTAATTTGGATATTTAAAATAACTTTTTCTCTTTTTCTCTTTCTTATATTCTATAATTATTTTATTTACACGTCATTTAAGTCTAAAAAGTTTGATTGTATACCATTTTCTTATTCAAAATAAATGACATGTTCCGCACCAGTCATAGTCTCGACTGGAGAGTGTTGCCTTGCCCAAGCCCAAGCCCACAAAACACATCACGAGTTTTATTTTGATGATTCGAACCATTTATTTTATTGTGCCCTTTATATAAATCATCTACAAAAAAATTACGTTAATTTGATAATCATGGCTTATTAATTTTATCCATTTATCACCCCCTCAAAAAAAAAAAATAGATAATCTATTTTTAAAAATATACTTCTCGTTTAATTTTTTAGTGATAAATTCAATAAAATAAATATGTTACTGAATCAATTTATTTTTATATAAATAGATTGACAAGATAAATATTTTACATTATCAAAACAAGATCCACCACACATTCCGAGCCCAGACAACATGAACTAAAGGGAAGTCCAATCGCAAAATAAATTAGGCCACGTATTAACACGTGTTAAAATAGAGTAGGAATATACAGACAAAAAAATTGTACACAGAAAAATTGTAAATAATAAATTGGGTTTTGAACTTATCATTTTAAAATAAAAAGATTGAGATGTTTTTAATTATCAAAATGATATTGGTCTTGTTTAAAAAGTTGGCTAATTTAATTAGTTATTTAATTTTCTTAATTATTTTAATTTGATTTAAAAAATTATGTTCGGAAAGTTAGTGGTTTTTTTTTTGTTAGTTAATTTGATGATTGTGAGAGAAAATGTAAAATGATTATGGGTTGGATGTGATATTTTATCTAATTAGTTATTTTAGTCTATTTTGTCTTTTAATAAACTATTTTAACCCAACTATCTTTTCAAGCACCCCCGTTCTAATGTAAAGTTATATGTAAAAAAATTGATAAAATGACAATTTGCTTTGAAATAAAGTTTTTCATTTTTAATTTAGGCCAAGGTAGAGGTATTTTTTTAAGTTAAAATTTAATAATCAGAAAATATAAGTTAAAAACACTCCTCTTTCAAATTCTAAATAATCAATTTATTTAAATTAATTATGCCTAATAAACTAAATAAAAATTATACCAAACAATTTAACAGACTCCTAAATACTCAACTTCCATAAGCTGCAACAAACAGCTCCTTAGTTCCTACCGTCCACGACTACTAAGGAATCTACATTGAAAGGTCAGAATTCACATTCATAATGGTCCCTAGTAGATGATAATATTCTAGTGTTATATTTCTTATTATAATTATTAAAAACACATTGGGGTAAGAAAGTCATACACATAACAAAAATGTTAGTATAAATTTGGTCAATAGCACATTATAAACAATTTCATATATGTGATTTCTTACTTCCACATATTCTAAAACACGTGGTCATTAGTTTCTTTACTCAATAAGAAAAAGTTTTCAACATGTTTGGAGGGATAGAAGTATGAGATAGGACGCACAATCTATAGATGGAATAGTTGATTGTTTAGTTTATAAATTTTACACCGGTCTAATAGTCCCTCATATGTGGGATAACTCTATCCCAGGAGGTGTGGAACAGAAAACTCAAGATAAGCTTAGCATTGGGATTATCCTGAACTTATTGAAATAAGATTAAAATCTCAACTAAAATCAAATTAAAATTAAAAAAAAAAATTATATAGTTTTAGTAAATTAAAAATAAAATTAAAAGTTCTATTTATTTAAAAGTTCAAATTAAAATAAAATTAAAAAATCTCAGCTAAAAATTAAAATAAATTTATATAATTTTTATTGATGTTCTATTTATTTAATTTTGTAAAAGTTCCAGTAAAAAAATTAAATAAAATAAGATACACATCCGATTCAATAGAATAGTCTAATCCAAACATTTAATTCCATAACTAAACAAACATACAATTCAATAGAACAGTCAAATCCAGACATCTAATCCCATGACTAAACGAACATAGAATATAAATCAAGTCAAACCAAATAGTCCAAGGATAATGTAACTCAGGATTAACAGTCCAATAAATTACAATCTCCTTTTATTCAGTTTATCCAAACAAACAAACCCATAGGCAAGTAACTTGGGTGGATTCAATTTGAAAAAATCAAGCGCAATCCGAATTTTGTAGAATTATGACAAAATATTTTTGAATTCAATGTTACTTTAGTAAAAATTCATAAATTCAAATTAAATTTGGACATGACTGAGCAAATACATAAAGCAATCCAAAATCAAAATTATGCATATATAGTATGACAAATATTAAATATGTATATAAATTATTAGTCGTTAAATGATATTAAATTAAGTTAAAATGTTAGATCATATTCAATATATATATATACATATATATATCATATACACAAATAAGCAGAACATAAAATATATATATATATATATATTTTTCCTTTCTTACATGAAAATGACAAAAATCATTGTAGCACCTCTTTGTCACTCTCACCATATAAATTATTTATTTTGATATTATTAAAAATTTTCGTCCCAAAAAAATGTTAATAAGGTTAACTTTAACAAATAATTAGCCTAGCTACTGACCCAAAAAAAAAAACTCTCCAATTTATAAAAAAAAATCAGGCAATTCAGGAAATTCACACTAACGCTCAAGTTGGACTTAGGCAAACAAAGTTTGGATAGTGTGGGGATATATTTTCTAAGTACCAATACGTGGCAAGGTGACGCCGATGTGTCAGCTGAGGTGCCACGTGTCCTGGTCATTATGCCGAGGTTATCTCGGTGTTGCCGAGATTATCTCCAAAGATATCGGAATCCGAGATAAACGGATAAGGGACAAGAGTCTTAGAATGAAGAGGAGACTTAGTCAAGATGAGGATAAAACTCTTAAGGAGTTTATCTTTATCTCTTGAGGAGTCCAAAGTAAGTACTGAATTGGAGTCCATAAAAGTCAGGCTTCTAGTGGGACTAGGATTGAGTTAACTATAAAAGAGAGGCACCCATGTGAGTCTAAGGTACACAATTTATGCTTTGAGCATTAAGTTTAGCATTATTGATTATCTTTGAGAGATATACTGACTTGATCGTCAGAGTGCCCCCGGGTGGAAGAACCACCGCCGGAGCCTTCTCTTTCTATTACAGGTTAGCTGAAGTCATCTATTCTGCCGGTGCTCTCTAGCTGATTACTAAACGGGCAGTGTGATCAGAAAATCACTCACACAATTTGGCGCCGTCTGTGGGAAATTAGAAGAATAGATGGCTAGTAACGGACAGAAGGAAAAGATTGGGGACGACACTCCTGCTAGGAGTGGCAGACCAATTGACCTTGATATCGAAGGAGACAACCACAATGCAGAAACTCGTGACCAGGGCCACGGAGAGAAAGACGTCGGCCAGGAGGGCGACACTTCGAAGAAGACAGACCAAAGCAAGTACTATAACGAAGATAACCTCTAGGTATGGAGGGATAGGTTCCCGCGGAGGAATGAAGAAGTAAAAGAATTGGCAAACAAGTTGGCAGACCTGCAGTCGGTCGTCAACTTCATGATGCAGAACAATGTCATGCAGCCACCGTATGCGCTGCAGGACATGTCGATTCCAGCAACTAATACCCAAAAGGGAGGAAGGAAAACAATTCCCGAAGCCCCTCAGCACACCAGGAGCGGAAGACACTCTCACCGACCTTCCAGGGAAGTCGGACGAGAAGAGCCGAGACGAGAGGAGTCCCGAAGGACGTATCACACGAAGGACCCAGAGCCCAAAGAACATCGGCATGTTCAAGGGCAGGCGCTCTGCTTTGACACAACCCATGGAGAAAGATCAAAACGGGCCCACCACGAAGCCGAAAGTAGTGTGCCGAAAAGATTGAAGTCCAAAGATAGCCGAGCTCCAAGGAGGAGTAAAGAAGACTTGAGAGATTACCTCAAAAGGAAGCAACAGAATGCTGAAACCGAGGTAACTTTCCCGATTAAGCCGAGGACACCATTCTCGGTGGAACTGAACAAATTTGAAGCACCAAAGAGATTTAGTATGCTAAGGTTCCAAATATATGATGGTAAGTCAGATCCCAACTTTCACGTTGGACTATACCTAAATTCAATGGCATTATATAGTGGGAACGAGCCGTTACTCTGCAAAGTATTCCTCTCATCCTTCGGGGAGATTGCATCAGATTGGTTCCATAAACTACTGAAGGGAAGCGTAAAGACTTGGGAAGGCCTGGCCGAGATGTTTGTGGCCAGGTTTGTGACGTACAAACTACAACCCTTGAGGGTCGATGCACTGATGGCTTTAAAAATCACCAAGGATGAAGGCCTTAGGGCCTACGCAAAAAGGTACTATGAGGTGTTCAATCGAATACCCGAATGCAACCAAGAGGTGGCGGTCGTGTCTTTCAAGAACGGCCTGAAAGATGACTGCCCACTACGGAAATCTTTGGCA